AAAAAAACGACCATGTATAGTAAGGCGTTTTTAGCCGAAAAAAAGGACCATGGATAGTAAGGCGTTTTTCGCCGAAAAAACGACCATGTTTAGAAAGGCATTTTTAACCGAAAAAAACGACCATGTATAGTAAGGCGTTTTTAGCCGAAAAAAAGGACCATGGATAGTAAGGCGTTTTTCGCCGAAAAAACGACCATGTTTAGAAAGGCATTTTTAACCGAAAAAAACGACCATGTATAGTAAGGCGTTTTTAGCCGAAAAAAAGGACCATGGATAGTAAGGCGTTTTTCGCCGAAAAAACGACCATGTTTAGAAAGGCATTTTTAACCGAAAAAAACGACCATGTATAGTAAGGCATTTTTAGCCGAAAAAACGACCATGTATAGTAGGCGTTTTTAGCCCCGCCAAAAAAAACATATATAGTAAGGCGTTTATTGCCCAAAAAAATGACCATGTATAGTAAGGTGTTTTTAGCCGAAAAAAAAACGACCATGTATATAGGAAGGCGTTTTTTGCCGAAAAAAACGACCATGTATAGTCAGGCGTTTTTAGCCGAAAAAAACGATATAGTAAGGCGTTTTAATCCGAAAAAAACGACCATGTATTGTAAGGCGTTTTTCGCCGAAATAAAACGACTATGTATAGTAAGGCATTTTAACCCGAAAAAAACGACCATGTATAGTAGGCCTTTTTAGCCCCCCAAAAAAAAACATATTTAGTCAGGCGTTTTTCGCCGAAAAAAATGACCATGTATAGTAAGGCGTTTTTAGCCCAAAAAAAAACGACCATGTATAGTCAGGCGTTTTAACCGAAAAAAAAAATGACCATGGATCGTAAGGCGTTTTTAGCCGAAAAAAACGACCATGTATAGTCAGGCGTTTTTAGCCAAAAAAAACGACCATGCATAGTCAGGCGTTTTTAGCCGAAAAAAACGACCATGTTTAGAAAGGCATTTTTATCCAAAAAAAAAACGACCATGTATATCGTAAGGCGTTTTTAGCCAAAAAAAACGACCATGTTTAGAAAGGCATTTTTAACCAAAAAAAAACAACCATGTATTTCGTAAGGCGTTTTTAGCCAAAAAAAACGACCATGTATAGTCAGGCGTTTTTACCCGAAAAAAACGACCATGTATTTATAGTAAGGCGTTTTAACATGAAAAAAACGACCATGTATAGTCAGGCGTTTTTAGACAAATAAAAACAACCATGTATAGTAAGGCGTTTTTAGCCGAAAAAAATGACCATGTATAGCATCCGTGTCAAACTCATTTTACATTGTGGGCTACATAGGGCCTCGGTACATGTCAAGTGGGCCGGACCATTAAAAATTGTACCATACTCTGCTCTAAATAACCAAAATAACATGTCTTTCCTTTCTTTTGGTCTAAAGATGCACAAGAACACTAGGAAAATGTTGAAATTTCATGAACATATCTTTCACAAAACATTTCATGAAGCACCTAAGATTTCCTTCGACAAATGTGCAATTTACTTTTATCATTCACATACAGTCAAACCTCGGTTTTCGAACGTCT